TTCATTCATTCGTCGACGTCGATTAGGCTCATGTGGATCGGATAGTGACGTTTTTTCGTCGTTCTTTAACACTGAACCGTTCGTGGAGACCTATAGGCAATTTTCGATGCCTACAACGTCTGGACTCGTTGGATCAAGAAAGATAATAAGATGCAAAGGTGAGGAAACATATTTATTTGTATTGAAAAGAGTTCATACTTCATAATTTATATGCGTAGCTGCTAATTGAATCTTCTTAGTGTTCAGGGTTCAACCTGTGCCTTATCACTTGCAGACCTGGATTTATTTTGCAGTGAGTGCAAATAATGTGTTTGATTACCTCGTCCTTTGTAAGCTCAAGAGTAATCCAAGCTAAACATTCCCACCTATATTTGCACTGAGTACGAATAGATATATTAAACTCCAGCCTGTGGACTGTAGCTCTAAGATCATCAGTTCTGACAAAGTCATGATATATAACCTTAAACTGAAACTTGATCTCACACCCCCGTGTATTTTGCTGTTCAGACCTACAACCACTGAACTGATGGAAACTTTGTTTGGTACTATATTTGAGAGACAATACTAGGATTTTGCATTGTTGGTCTCAAAGTTCTACAATTAAACTTTTTACTCAAATGGAAGTAAGGGACTTTTCATTCAAATCAGTAGTATCCTAACTTAGTCGCACGTATTTTTTTATGCGTAAAAGAAGAGTTCTTGTTGTTGTTTAGAAATATGTTGCTAATGCAAATATTGGCGGTTGGAGATGAAATTGAAGGATTGATGGATTTCCTTTTTGTTTTGGTAATGAGTAGAGTGGACATAGCAAATTGGCAAGACAGGCGACTATCCTGTTGGCATTCTGCGACTATGCTGGAAATGCAATGAAGGTGAATTAATGGTTTTGATTTAGATGTATGTCTGTCCCTTTGATTTAGAAACAAGAGGTAATGCAGCCGACGTCTTTGATGCTGCGTAGGATTTGGTATCGGCACCAAGACCCAGTTGCCCTTCTTTGAGGAGAGTTACCGCGACCGATGATGAGAAAGAGAACGCCATGGAGTATGGACTTCCTTTGTCGCATGCCCTCAACACCGTGTGCTTATCAGAGTATAGCCATTTTGCATCTAATTTTTTTTCGTCAAGTGTTAATTTTGTTAATTTCGATTTTGGCTAATGCTAGCTCTGTGCCTGTTGTAGATACTTGCTGTATTATTTTCTGACATGCGGGGCTGAAAGGGACAACATCACAATTTTGGTTGGGTTTGTACTAGTATTCACAAAGGTTATGCTGATTGCAATAGGTAAGTTTTCTTCGCTAGTATCAGATTCTTACGCGTAGTTAAAAAGAAACTTTTGTGGATGCCTGAAGTTTGATTATTTTTCTTAACAGCAAGGATGTACTTGGGTATGCACAGCTTGCTTGATGTTATGGCCGGAATCAGCTTTGGGGTTGTTATACTTGCCTTTTGGATCAAAGTCCATGGATATGTTGACGATTTTGTCATAAATGGACAGAATGGTAAGTATCAATTTGTTTCATGATGGTTATCCATTATCTTTGTAAGATAGCAAGAGTTTGCTTTTAGCTTCTTTGATTATTTATTTTTTATTTCTTATTTTTTATTTTTTTATTTTTGCAGTTACATCCTTTATGGCGATCCTTTCTTTATTGTTGTGTTTCGCGTATCCTACTCCTGAAGTCCCTACCCCAAGTTTTGATTATCATGCTGCATTTACTGGTGTTGCATTTGGAATAGTAAGTATATTTCACTTTTCCTGTATTAATCAATAGGAACATCATTTATTTCTTTGTAATAACGCCCGTGTTTCAAACAAAATTGAGGGTTATACCCTTTGGCGTAATAGCGTCACATATGAAAATCTGATAAAAGTACACATACTAAATTAAACTTCATTTGTACAAACATTTAGCAAATAAGATGAATTGTACCCAAATTTTCTATCAACTTCAGTTGCATTTAGAATCAGAACACTTGCATCCTAACATCTTCTTTTTTTTTCCTCATCCACAGGTCAGCGGCGTCCAGCAAACTTACCATCATTTTCACCACGAGAACATTCCTCAAATATTTAGCCCTCAACTGCCAATAACATTTCTTATTGGAAGAGTATTGATTGGTATCCCTACAATACTAATTGTGAAGTTCTGCAGTAAAGCTATTGCTAAATGGTTATTTGAATGAAATGTTAATGAAAGTCCCTACAATACTGAACTGAAACTTTTTACGCATAAAAATGTTAATGAAAGTCCCTTACTTCCATGCAGGAATTGTCATTTGAATGAAAAGCACAAGGGCTTGTTTGATGGAGACCCTTAGCAATCTGTAGCCACCTATTTTACTCAAATGGAAGGTTTTGATGCAGGTGGGTTATTTCCTTTATTTTAAGCTATTTATTTTGAATAATTGCAATATCTTTTTCCCCAATTTTATTATTTCATGCTATTGCATTAGTTTTGTACTTGTAAACTCATACATTTATTACCAAGGATCTTTCTCCCCAGCAGATAAACATGCACAGATGCCCAAAAGAAACCGACTGAACCCATGACCCATTTCTGATAATAGAAGCAGTAAGTTTGACATCGCAAACATCGCAAACATACAAATATTAAGTAGAGATTGTAGTTTCTAGGTGCGACTAGGAAGACATGAACGAAATTGAGCTTGGATAAATCTGTAAGGAAAGACACGCTAGCATTTATTCCATCACTACATATTTTGCCACTTAATCTATGGTTGCTGACTTTTCTTGACCAACTTTTACCCAATTGTAAGCTTTCTACTCCACGAACTAGGCGAAAAATAGACTCTCCTGTATATCAATTTTGCAGCTAAAGAATCCCTTTTTTACAATTTCACATTGATGGTTCTCTTATGCAGTCTCTTTACAATTTCAACTATCATATAATGCCTCAGTTTGAATACTGGACCTCCATGCATTAGATTTTAGATTTTCTAACATCTGCTGAACTACTTTAGAAATTTAAGGTATTTTCCTTTCTAGAACCAACACATTCTGACGCTCTGAATACTCATCAACTTAAGAACTTCCTAGTATAAATTGCTGCTAAGATAACTCATCAACTTAAGAACTTCCTAGTATAAATTGCTGCTAAGATAACTTCTTTTGTATCTATGCGACTTTATTATATTTCTCAGATTTCAGTACTCTTGCAGGAGGAATCGATATGCTTTATGTCTTGAGAATTTTTTGCTCCTTTCATCACGCTTCTGGTACTCATGAATCAATATGTTCTCTTAACTTCTTTTTCAAACATCTTTTTTTCCCAATTTTATTATCATCATTGCAAAAATTACGTTGATTCATGGAAATTTACACAGGTACAGAAATGATGAAAGCCAAGTTTGAGATTGATACTGACAGGTTCCTAGTGAGTATTTGACATTGAGGAACAAGTTTTTGGAAACAAATAGAGAATATAGTCTTTGACTGAGAAGTTTCATGTTTTGTAATCAAATGTTGATGTACATTGTTTGAATGTTAGTTCGGTACGATATTTTCTGAGTTGAAATGTTGGTAGTGTGGATTTAATACTTTGTAGTTTTTATACTATACTGATGTATGTTGGCACTTATCATTATGGTTGATTATGCTCAACATAATCACTTTTATATTGTGTATTAAAATTTGACTTGGTCATGTTCTTAAAAAGATTATCCAGGTAATTGAATACTATATTATTTTGACGTAGGAAACCAAGAACAGGTCCGATTGAGCTGTTGCATTAGCTCGATTAAAACCGTTGCAATAGCTCGATCAAAACTGCTGCGATAGCTCGATCCAAACTGTTGCGATAGCTCAATCCAAACTGTTGCGTTAGGTTTTTTAAAACTGTTGTAATAGCTCCAACTGTCGCCGTAGCTCTATCAAAACCATAGCTATAGCCTACTAAAACCGTTGCGTTAGGTCTTTTAAAACTGTTGCAATAGTTCCAATTGCCGTCATAGCTCTATCAAAACCATAGCTATAGCCTACTAAAACCGTTGCGTTAGGTCTTTTAAAACTGTTGCAATAGTTCCAATTGCCGTCATAGCTCTATCAAAACCATAGCTATAGCCTACTAAAACCGTCGCGTTAGGTTTTTTAAAACTGTTGCAATAGCTCCAACTGTCGCCGTAGCTCTATCAAAACCATAGCTATAGCCTACTAAAACCGTTGCGTTAGATCTTTTAAAACTGTTGCAATAGCTCCAACTGTCGCCGTAGCTCTATGAGAACCATAGCTATAGCCTATTAAAACCGTTGCGTTAGGTTTTTTAAAACTGTTGCAATAGATCCAACTGTCGCCGTAGCTCTATCAAAACCATAGCTATAGCATACTAAAACCGTTGCGTTAGATCTTTTAAAACCGTTGCAATAACTGCTTGCCTTTTAAAACCGTTGCGTTAGATGCAGGGGCAACGGTTCAAAAAACCGTCGCAATAGAGTTCAAAACCGTTACGGTAGAGGTAGGGCAACGGCAGTATATGAGGCGGTTTGAGAACCGTTGCACTTGCTCAAGGGCGACGGTTCCATGGCTAACGCAACGGTTTTGAACCGTTGCGTTAGAGCAAATATGAGGCGGTTTTTGTATTTTTAATTTTTTTTAAAATATTACCAGGTATCCTAGACGGAAATTTCCGTCTAGAATACATCCTAGATTTCCGTCTAGGATGTTTTGGCTCATATTAAAAAAATAAATACCAAATTCCCCCCTCCCCACACCCCCCAAATCGAAATCCTCCCCCCCGTGTCGGTGGACCACTTGATCTGGCTCGACCCTTGATCTGGCTCGAGCTCGTCGGTGACTTGCTTGAGGAACCGGAGCGTGGAGGCGATGGCCACGGCGGCGCTCGTGCAGGCGATACGGGAGGCGCAGGAGCCCAGGACGCTGTAGGTGAGTCGGTCGGCTGACTCAGGGTTCAGGGGTCTGAAGGGTTTCTTGATTATACAGGGATTTGATTTACAAGTTTTATCGTCAATACACAAATTGCAAGCCAATTCCACTGAAAAACCTTTTAATACACTACTATTTTGTTCTTAGCACAATGTTTGAGATCTCTACTTAGCACATTGTATAACAAGTATTGTGAGAGGATGCTTTTATTTGATAAGATGAGTGCTCAGCAGTTGAAAGAAACATGTACGTATAATCTTTCTTCGGAATTGCTTTGGCATTGTTCTTCGAGATTCAACTTATTTTCTTTATAATCTATGGTAGCGTGTAAATTTTGGACTATTAATTTTGAATGTCAACAATAGTTGGATATTGATGCTTGAGTGACCATGCTGTAACTTCATCCCAATTGGTTGTGACCATGGCTACATCACAAAGGTCTATTTTGAAATCATTGAACCGGCTCGTTTCATGAATCTAAACATGCAATGCTTCAGTTTGATGTAGTTTGAAAGTCTCAACCCAATGGGGTCCTTGAATTGCCTAACCTGTAGGCTTGTCATCATGCTGATTGGTAATTTTCCGTCTCAATTAGACTTTCATCATTCTTGTTAACATGCACGTTGAGTATGTGAAGTGGAGATTTACCCTAACCAATTCACCTGTTATATATAATTTACATACAAGCACCTGGAAATGCTTGAATCTTAATATCTTGTAAAAGCTCGTGCATCATTTTTTAATGCATTTATCAAGAAATGTTTGTATAATAATATCTAATTTTATTTTATTAGCTTTCAACTAGTTAAATTTCAGCTTATTCTTAAACAATTGTTAGTATAATAATATCGCCTAATTTGATTACATTGTGCACCATTGTTAAATCTAACTGATGCAATCGTCCTAAGTATCTCAAGTTCCCAACTTCTGCTTGGTATTACCAGAGTTTATTTCAACTCATGTAATTAAATCTAATCAATTAGGTGGTCAGAAGTTGGACTTGATTTCACTGCGCTAGTAATTATAATATAATCTAATTGATGCTATGTTTTTTAGTGTTCGGGAGCAAGGCCGTCAATCTATAGCAGGTTATAGTGATTACCCTTCAATTTGCATATGTGCTTTGCTCTTTTGGCTAATATGTGTTATAATGGCCTTAATTCACTGTAGTAATACTTTTACTAATGACGGTTCCCTTAGTTCAGATCACAATGCTGATGAGAACAGACAAGGGTCTCAAGTTGACACATGTCGTAACACGAATTTTTCTTCAAGTTATCTATTTGATCTACTGTGTTTTTTTTTCTTTTATGAAAAGAAGATCTGTTTGATAATTTGCTTGCATTTGTTGTCATATTCGCAGGCATTGAATTGCCATATAAAGCTAATCCTCTCTCAAGGCAGAGTGCTAGGCTGCTAGCAAAGAGAATTTACAAAATGGTGTTTCTTTGAAGAGAAATTTACATGAAGGTAAATTCCATGTTTCTGATAATAGGGTTTTCATCATTCTGGTTTATCTGTTCTTTGGATCATACTTTTATGACAATTTAAAAGAAAAGTTCCTTTTCAGGCAATAATTGTACTAAAGAGAAATTGGAAGGACTGGAACGTAACTTATTCTGGTTTATCTGTTCTTATCTCCTTCCTTTTGTTGACTAAAAAGGTGGAGATATCCACCCTTTGGTTACACTGAAGCAGACAATATTAGAGAAGTAAAGAGACAGAAATTGAACATAGAGCATGGAGGTGACTGTAATGACAAACAACTTGGTATCACTGATATCTTACATATGCTGATGTAGCTGTGAAATGCGCATTTTATCATTCCTCTGAGATTACAAAGGTTACACAGCATACCATACATGTGCATATTTGGTTATTTTCTATCTATTGCAAGAGCCTGTGTTAACAATCTCAACTATTGGTATCTCTTTTATATATATGCATTGCTTGTGTCCTTATGGATCAGTTTGTACATATATTGATGCATTGCTTGTGTCCTTATGTTACACTCAGGATGATGAGGAAGAAGGTGAAGAAGGAGAAGAAGAGGGCTTGAGTAAATGTATAGGGAAGGAGTTGAAGAAGCTTCTGCAGTGTCATAGCCATTGTAAATAATTTATGTAAAAGTTTGTAAACAATTTATGTATCTCTCTACTATTTTGGTGAATGTATTATTTGAATATAATTGGATTTGATATTGGAATATAATTAGATTGTGTTGGATATGAATATTAATTTTTTTTTGTTAAATATTGTGTACATGCACTCAAAGTAGAATTTC